GAAGTGCACTACATAAGGTGTGAACCACTGACTTCCACATCCTGTATAGTCAACTATGTGTCCAATAGCGTGGATTTCAGCTCTCTACTCCAGATTGAAATGAACTACTTTAGGGAAAGAGCTCCTATAGCCTATGTAGTGCACTTGCTTCCTGCACACTAGATACTCTAAGTACACTAGATGGGGTGAGATCGATTGGTTTTGACACCCTACATAGTTCATTTCATGTCTAAGTGTAAGGTATTCAGCTTCTACTAAGGGTATTAAATAGTGGATCTTATACCCTACATAGTTCACTATGTCCAACAGGAAGTCAAATGGGATTCAGCTAAACAAGTGCAATAACCATTTTGTACTCAAGTTAAATTATGTTAAAAATTTTATTCTAAGAAAATTTGGGAAATGGGTAATACAGACAGTGAACATTTGCTACCTGATGTTAGCGCTCTAGTGGAGTGTTTTCCATTTTAATGTACTACTCATTAATAGAGCGTCAGTTCTGTCGGTTATCTGCTAAAAGCTCCACCCCTTCTGTTCCATGGTTTAGTGCAAAACAGTGTTCGTTCGCTTGGTAAATACAGTCATCATCGTGCTGTTTTTACTGAACTCTGTGTTTGTGTGCGTGTGCGCATGTGTGTGCTACCGTAACTAACACACCAGCTAGAATACAGAAGTGCCCTTCCTAACTCATTACTGCATGAAGAACAAACTCTGTGTGTGTGTGTCTCTCTTGTGCGCTCTCTCTCTCTCTCTCTCTCTCGCTCACACACACACACACACACACAGAGAAAGAGAGAGAACAATCTCTAGTTTCCATAGTTCCTTCAAAAAAAAAAAAACACAAGGAGCCAAAACTCTGACAACTGCTCCATATCTAAATAATCTAGCATGGATTAATACACAAAACTCCATGATGCCAAATCAAGGCTGTTACACTAGCCCTCCATCAAGTGCAAAAGTCTGCACCCCCTAAGATATAGGGCTGTATTCAGACTTGTGCTGGATCAAGTGCTATTTTATAAGCTGCAGAATAATGAGTGTGAAGGCCATATTGTTAAATTTAATTAAATTTGATGTGATAATCCACATTTTCTGTTCCTGATTTTTGTTGTTTAAAAGCAGTGGTCTAGACAATTTTTTTTAAAAATCCCATCTTAGATGCTTCTACTCAAGAAAAATCTGGCACACCCAGAACTTAAGCGAGTATTTAACCCATCTCTGAACACGCAAGACTTTCCCCACATAAATATCGTTGTGACTTTTCTACTTAAGTCACCGATTCTGAACACGACCCAAAATGAAGAAGAGATAAAAATGTATTTCACACCAAGGCATTCACCATGTTATGTTTCACACATGCTCCTTCACCATCACATGATCAAACACTGCATGTTAACCCATCAACAGTGATAGTTCACGTTCTTATGCAAAAAGAGATGTAAAACCTCTGTACAGCTTTCAGATCATTTAAGCTGAAACATTCTGATTTTCCTTTCAGAAACCATGGGGGTATAAACTTCTGCTCAAACATCAATATTTTACTACTCCTGAGTGTACACACCATTCGCAGGGTCAATGAACTGAGCTGGAAATTTACAAGCAGTGAACACCTAAACATCCAGCTCACTACACTCTACAAAGTGGACTACAAACAAGGGTACAAAATGAGTGCACTATATTTCCAAGAGGATTCATGCTCTCACTCTTTAGTAAGTGCAATAGATGGGGTAGAAATAGAAATGGTTCCTAAACCTACACTATATGACCAATATGACTATATGAACACTATATGTTCACTATATGACCAATAGTGAGCCCTTTGGGATTCAGATCTTTATTCCCTATGGACCTTTTTCACACTTCTGTTTTTATGACTTTTGAAGCACAAGTACTAGCATTAAATGTATACACACACACACACACACACACACACCCATTCAGGCCTACACATTAAAAATACAATAAATTGCCAATTTTTGTTGCACCTCCGCACATGCCCTCTGCTAACACTAGCTAGCTCCAGCTAGTTTATTGATGCTGTGTTCATTAGCAGCTGTGTCAGGCGTTCAGATTAAACTAGCTAGCTAGCAAGGGGTGAAAAAATTTAGCTAGCTATTTGCTGCTTATATTAATCCAGAATTTACTGTTAACAGACTGTTCATTGCCATTTACGCATTTCAGTATCTAAACAATGTTCAAAATGGCAACCGAAACGTTATTATTTATTACAGGATATGACATCATAGTCGTCGTGAAAGAAACTGGTACAAGTGCACTAGATAGGGTGTAAAAATAATGTTTATACACACTATGCAGCAGTCTGTATATGTCAGAAATTTATAAATATATTGGGAAATATATTTGGGATTCCTATGATTTCTAAAAGTATGTACACCCTGTGCATCCTGTTTCATAGCCTACATACTGTTTATACACAGTAAGACCAATTGTATCCACTGCTTCCTATTTGCATGTAAGTGCACTATTACAGACGTGAAACAGGACATGGTCTCTTTTTTGTGAAAAAGGTACAAAGCACACTTGAGACATATGTACACTTTACCTTGTTGCAGTACAACATCCAGACCTCGTACAGTCTCTCATTCGATGCCATTCTGCACGCTGGTGTGTGAGGGCGATGCCCGCATGCAGGCACAAATATTCAAACGATAGCCCGGAGTCAGCAGTGTGGCTTCCACATGGTCCGAGCCGCTCTCTCTACGGGAACGTCTCCGGGGAGCTCAATCAAGAGGTGGTGCCTCTGTGCTTTAAAAGCCCATCTCTCTCTCTTTATCGCTCTGTGTGGTTTGTGAGTGAAATATTTAATGTAGTGGTTGGAAATCCTCTCAGAGTGTCAGAGTTGAGTGCGTGAGGCCGGCGTATACTGCTCCATGGGGAGCGATGAAGGACGTTACGAGTCCTGGATGAGCTGGACTGCGTCTATATACCGCTTCACCTGGAAAAGTAAAACACATGAGCTGAAAATCAGTGAACAGCTATACAAAATAATTATAGAAAACATTTAAAATTACGGAAGACACTGTGTCTATTTAAACATGAGAAAAAAAGGAGAAATGTTATAGGTTCGAATTAGAAATCTGCTTAAACTTAGGTGTGAGTTTATTATGTTATGTGTTATATGTTATGTTAATGCTACATTCATGTCATATGGGGAAAATACAATTTACAACCTTCGGACACATGGAGGAGGAATTACGAGTTAGAATTCTGGAAGCTCTCTCACGGCACGGATTTCTCAGCCCAAACCTGCAAAGGAGGCAACTGCCTACATAATCATGCGGCCATAAAACAGAAATTTGAGTTTATATTTCATCTTATAAGGAACTACATCTGATCAATTTCTCCATCCGCTTCAGCTTCAAAGAACACAGAACATGAACACAGGTGTACATACTAATGTTAATTAGCTAGTATTAGATACAAAAGAAACTACAACCGCCACTTCTATCTAGTAACTGGAGGAAAAGGAAAAGTTTTCCTTTCTCACATGACATGAATGCGGCATAGGTTGGGAATATTTGCGATGGAAGACTTTTCAGATTCAGAAGTATTGTGAGCATTGTGAGCATAACTGGTATTTACATGCTTGAAAGTATTACAACAAAGACGCACTTCCTGAGAGCATCTCATAAAATGCACGAACCTAGAATATAAAGGAGTGGAGCAAGATCTCTCTAGCAGTGTCTCTCAGATATTACAGGAAGTGCTGTTCTTCTCTCCAGGACGGGGTGCCGATATTTTTGGAAAAAAAAATTGCACTACTTAAAAACATGTTTAAATAAAACTAACCAACATTCCTGAGCTCAAAATAAAAATTACTGCAAGTGTTATTCGTTTAGTATTAGTGATGCATCAACACCATTTTTTTTTCAGAACTGAATCTTTCTGTTATTCGTTTATACCGATACTGAAATCACTAACCTACTGAGTATTAATCAATCAGGGACCTCGTTATGGAACACTTTATTTAGCTGTGCTTATGCTGGTTGCTGCTGTGAGCTGCTAGCAACGAATCTCCTTGTGCTGAGTTCTAGCATAAGACATGCTAGTGTGTAAACAGTACCTTTACCTCATGCAGAGCAGCATCAGCGACTGCGGTCAGCAAAAATGTACCGTGAATTGCACCTTGACCCACAAGCAAAGCGTAGACACTGACAAAAGGATGCTCAAGTGCTCAGTGCTCGCTGAACTGAACTGCTCTCGCAGGCGCAACAGGTTCTCATGAATACCTCTGTGTGTGTGTGTGTGTGTGTGTAATTCACAGCACCTTGATCTCATTTTTAATGACCACGCTCACGAATACTGCTTTACACACTCCTGCACTTTTTACTGAAGATACTGTTAAAACGTCATTACTTCAGGTATTGTAGGACAACGTTATAGTTCCTCCTCTTGAAGATATTTTAGCAGAGCATCATTAATCGTGAAATACATCCAGACTACTGTTATTGCTTGTTGTCTTTTCATTAGAGGAACAACGTAAACTAGGATTAAGTCACAGTGATATTGGATATTGGTAACTGAGCATTTTTTACGAGTAAGAGTGATATCCTATCCAGTATCAGTATCAATGCACCCCTTATTTTTATATATTAACTGAGACTCGTTTTCATGAATAATCCTGAGGAGCACAGTACATCCTGTGTTCTGTGAACCAAATATTCTGTCAAACCCTCAGGAAGTATGCAGGAGGCACTCTTTATATCTCCCACTCAAAATCAGAACGAAACCAATTAGTCGAGTTTAAAACTCGAAACACTGAAGCAGATGACATTCAACAGGACTATTTTATAGCCACATAATTTCCTAATTATCAAGCCCAACCTGCCTAACAACAGCACTTATAATAAAGATCCAAACAATAGGTTTGTATTAAAAGATATGATTGTCATATTATTGCATTCCTTAGGCATGACAACCAGAACATCTAGTTCATAATAGCCTTCAAGTTGAATATTTCCAATAAACAAGAGAGAGGTTCCCTGGTGGACAAGTGGCTAGCGTCCGGCACGCTCATCGCAGCAGTCCGAGTTCGATTCCCGGTCAGGGAACCGACCCCAGCCACTGGAGGGTTGCACGAGACAGTGTACCGTCAGCGCCGGTGCCAAGTCCGGAAATCGGGAGGGTTGCATCAGGAAGGGCATCCGGCGTAAAAACTCTCCCAGAATCAAAATATACAGACGGGTGATCTGCTGTGGCCACCCCGGACGGGAGCAGCCGAAAGACAAATATAAACAAAAGCCAGCTAAATAGCCTCCATCTTTTGATAGAGAGGTTGATTTTTTTGTGTGTCATACACACACGCTTTGTAAATTATACCGAGACCTCTTAGTTTCCCTAGTTGTAAATCAGTCATAATAATTACAGACATTCTGCTGTAATATTACTTACATTTTAATACTTATAACATAACACTTATAACATAATACTTATAACTAACATCTTCAGTGGCGTCCAAGATATCTTTATTTCTTTCTTTTTTGTTGATATGTTTTCCTACATTACCCACAATGCCATTCAACTAAGTGCTGACAGTGGTGCAGTGTGATTTAGCCCTTGCATCCTTTCTACTTAGAGAGCGATGCGGCGGCGCTTTAGTCTGTCCAGCTCTCTCATCTCCTCATCTGTGCACTCTGCTCAAGCAGATCAGCTCCCAAAGATTTCATGCAAATAGCCTCGTCAACACCATCATGCAGATTACTAACTACTCGAGCCAAGTCTCTGTCATAACCAGGGCCATAACGACCATAACGGTGTCGTATAGCTGCACTGCATTCTGGGACTTAGAGTCCAGCATTTGTGCCAACGCCTCCACTAGTTCTACACTGGATTTCTTATTAATATGACATTGAACATCACTAGAAAATGGTATTGATATTTTTCTCCTATTAAAAGTGCAGTTACAATGGTAAGCATTGTCCACTTGTGACGTCTGCATGGGACACAACCGCTAACTTCTCACAGGAACAATGAAAATACAGCACCAACCAACAAATGAGCACCAGAATCACTAAATACATCAAACATTTCAAACATATTTAACGTGTTCCAGGGAGAAGTTTTCCTTCAACAAGCTTCCAAGTTTATGAGTCCTGCAAAGGAAGCTTGGCAGCTGAAGAGGACATTCATCCAAAAATCAGTCCCAAATAAAGAATCCTCAAATGACATCTGGTATCCGAATGGGACTGACTTTATCTTGCTGGCCAAAAAAATTTTTTTTTAAATGCTGGCGTGATGAATACTGTACATAGAACTCATCTCATATCACGTTGTATAGCTTGTCATAAATCAGCAGTTATTTTTATGTCAGTTTATAATAACCCTCAAGTTTAATATGTAAATGTTATAATGATCAGATTTTGTAGTTTGTCTGCCCTAACTGTACACTGCATGCAGGCCTAAAGCTGATCGAGTCTCACTGAAATATCAGACATTGCCATAACCACTGGAAAATGTCTTAAATCCTCCAAGAGATGTGTATTAAAGAAAGCCTGAAATTTGACCGAGGGCAATGAGGGCATTTAAGCATGTTCTGTTTCCACGGGGTTTAAATAGGTGGTTGCGCACACGCAAAATCCTTTTCTCAGCCATTACCATTGCAACAGAACTTTCAACACAAAACAGGTAGATGGTCGTTGACTGGGGTTGTCACGGTTTCACAGTTAGTCACAGTGTACGATCAGACGGTCACTTCACTGTTGACGTTTTCAAAATAATCACTACAAAACATTTCTGTTTTTTGGCTCAGCACCGCTTTTCCTATGCCATACTTTACCTTCTATAAAATGATCAGTAGAAATAACTTCAGGTAATAGATATGTATCCCGTTTGACCTGACATGTTCCGTTATATCCTGCATAAGATTCCGTTATATCCTGTGGAAAAAGAGGTTTCACTTTTCTTCAGTATAAAGACACTCCAGAAAAAACTGCACGCACCTTTCTATCAGCTCCCACCAGAAACAAAACCGAGGCCCAAGTATCACAACACCAAGTATCAGCTGAGTTTATAACAGAACAACAAAACAAAGACAACACTTAAAATGACGTGTCAGAGAAGTGATGCTTCCGGGGGTTTTAGATAGCATAGATACAGTATACAGATATGTTACGGTCATGTGACCTACTAATGAATAAGCATAACCCTAAAACAAGCAGTTTGTATTAAAATGATGTGTATGAAGCATGCGTGGAACTTTTAATGTGTCATGATGTCACCATCATGACGAAGACACTCCCATGTCCGTGATTTATACACTGTCAATCTCTCTTAATCGCTGCAGATGTCTTTCTGAAACAGGAATGCCAGGGTTGTGGGTTTGTTTGTTTTTTAACGGCGAATTGGACTGGTTTTGGAATGAAGTTGCATGTGGAAAAAGCAAGTCTGTGGGTGGTGGGTTTTTTGGGCTAGTTTAAAAAGATGTCTGTCTCCGTCAAGACCTTGTTTTACAGCAAATGATCAGACTTAAATCTCATTAAACTCAGGCTACGACAAAACAAAGAGAAAGTGTAACATCCCTTTGTCTCACATCATATTGCGAGAGCATGTTCGAACGAAGTAGCAAGGCTAGTTATCATTCATTCTACAAGTTTCTTTTTGTATATCGTCAGAATGGCAGGTAAATGGACTAAACACGGAAGAAAATAGTCCAAAGATTGTTTGAGGGAAAATGTGATTATGGAGACGATAACGGTCATAGCAGGAGATGATAAAAAGGCACGCTGCATATTAGAAATGCGTGCGCACCACGGTGAACTTGGAAAAAAGTCACACAAGAAAAATATTTTTTGCTGAGATAAAATTTTGCTGAGACTTGACAACCCTGTCTGGGAACATTACTTAAGTAGCATACGGTTAGAAATCTTATCGCGCACAAAAAAACAAGAATTACGAGACTTTCGGTGAGACTTATGGCCTTTAGGAGACTTAGGAGATGGTTTCTTTGCAAAGTCATTTTTGTATAAAGATTTTGTCATAAATTTTACTTTTGTGTGTGTGTAAATGCTTGATTAATATTGTATTCAATAATATTTAATATTTAATCTTTTTTTTTTTTTTTTACAAAGACTAGGTCATCATATCATGAAAAATTTAAATCATTACTCGATTTGTGCAAAGAATATAAAAATTATACAAAAACAGAAGCAGTTAAGCACAATTAGGACCAAAGAGTTGGACATTTGCCAGGAACTGGACCCTATGAGTGTTTTCAGTGCCGGCTCCTTTTCCATACCATGTCATTAACCCCACATTTATTTCTCTCTTAAACCTATCAGGAGATGTGTGCTGGAGAATAAACTTGCTCTCTGATGTGGAAAGTCTGAATGCAGAGGGGCATTAGGGCATTTTCATCTCACTAGCCCCATATTTACTTTGCTGGTAAAGCCTGAGCGTCAGATCCTCGGCTTAAGAAGCCAATAATAAGCTCTGAATGCCACAACAACGTCAACCACCAATGTAATTAACTCACACACACACACACACACATACACACATACATACACACACACTGCTGAATAATCAGCTCCCTATCGACATGACAGCTTGTTATTCTTGGCAGTTAGTCAGTTAGTTAGTTAACTTACCCAGGTTAGTAAAAGAGCTCCGGGTGACTGGAATCCTTGAGCGAGCTGCTTTCAGCTCGCGCACTTCGCACTGCCTTCCTCTTCAGTAACGTCCTAAATGTCGTAAAGAGCCATGAAAACACTGCACAAGCCAGCTAGCCTGATTAGCCTCGGCTTGACAGGCGACTAAAATGATTGTTTAAGTCAGTGGAGGAATGTTAACCCCATTCTCACTACAGCGACCCTACATGAGCCATTGGGAGTCTATGGAAGCAGCAGTGCATGGTTTCCTCCTGTAATTTTTTTTCCTTAGGTATTTATTTATTTATTTCTCACGCTCGTTTTGCGACAGCGTTTCACTGCTTTACGACAGTCTCAGACTTCTTTACGGTGCCGATGTGGAGCTGGAGCGCCCTAGTCGCGTTGCAAGAGGCGTGGCGTGGGCTGTGTTCCAATCGGCATACTGGGGTTCTAGTGCACTTGATGACGGGATTTTAAAGTTGGACTTTAAAAAAAAAAACTATTTATTTTTATATTTTCATTGTTGTTACTTTTATTCTTATTATTCTTCTGCTTACTATTATTATTGTTATTGGTGGTTGTGGTGGTTGTATTTTTATTGTTGATATTATTTTTATTATTGTTGGTGTTCTCCATAAGTACAGTACATTTAATGTTGTATGGTTCTGTACTCTGTACTGTCTCTGCACTGTGCTGTAGTATGCTTTTGTACTCGTGGATGTATTTCACTCCCATCATCACTCGTGAAGACGTGACTAGTTGATGGATGATTGATAGTTTAAGGATATAGCGCCACCTCTTGGTCAGGAGCTGAGCTTGCCGCGTGCTGAGGAAAATCTACGATCATGCAAGATTACAGTTATGACGTTCAATAATGTGATTTATGAGTTCTGATTCATTTCTGACTACATGTTTCAGCTCGGTGTCTCTCAATTATTCTGACAAATCTATCTAATATCTCTGTCCAAACTTTTCTTTTTATGTATTTAACATAATAAAATAATTTTCTTGATCATATGTGTCACTCTAGACTAATAATTACAATAATAGATAGATAGATAGATAGATAGATAGATAGATAGATAGATGTCATGCAAGTGTCTAATGTGATCTCAGTCATTTTGACCGTGGAGTGATTGTTGGTGCCAGACGGGCTGGTTTGAGTATTTCTATAACTGCTGATCTCCTGTGATTTTCACACACAGTCTCTAAAGTTTACTTAGAATGGTGCAATAAAGCAAAAACATCCAGTTCTGCAGATGAAAACACCTTGCTGATGAGAGAGGTCAGCAGAGCATGGTCAGACTGGCTCAAGCTGACAGAAAGGCTACAGATAACCACTCTGTCCAATTGTGGTGAGCAGGAAATCATCTCAGAATGCACAACCCGTCGAAAAAACATCAGAAGGCCACATCGGATTCCACTCCTGTCAACCAAGAGCAGAAAGCTGAGGCTGGCACAGGCTC